TGCCCCCCCTCGCTATGCTACTGGTAACCAACAATATAAGGTTAATATGATATTCTAGGATAGCTGTTCCTGAGAGCTGTTAAGTCTTTAATATAATTTATTTCATTTGATCAGGGGATATCTAAAGTATTTGGAGGGATGCAGCACCATCGAATAGCACAGGTAAAACCAAGGCAGTTGTTCTTGGCTAGCCTCAGTTTTACGTGATTTTCTAATAATAGCTGTTTAAGAATAACAAGATAAGCACACTTTATGGCTTTCTTGTTTGTAATATTTCCAACTTCAAGATTAATGCCTTCAAATTCAACGTCATTTAACTTGTCATCACTGTTCTTTTTCTCCCTTGTAGTGCCGCGTCGTTAAGATTACCATAACTGGTGAACCAATCCCCGTACAAGTAGACGGTGAAGCCTGGATGCAGACACCTGGCTACATCAAGATTGTACAGAAAAATAGAGCGCAGATGTTGGTTAGAGATAGGGTCAGTAACTTTTTGACGTAAGGTTGGCCAAAGGCTATGGGATCCCTGTGGATCAAGTACCACAGGGATCCTGTTAAGATAAAATACTGTGTTGGCTGACTCAACACTACACTCAAACACACACAGCTTTTGATCTTCTGTTATTACTATCATACCGATAAGCAGTTAGCTCAGTTAGTTGAGCATCGGACTTTCATGCTGGAGTTGTTGTTAGAGTCCCGGACCAACACTCAGGGTCTTAAAATAACTAAGGAAAAAAGCTGGTTTTGTATGTTACATCTGCAAATGGTAAGACTTTCAAGTGGCTCAAATGACCATTTTAAATGGAGGTCCCGTCTCTCCACACTTCAACATTACTAACCAATATCGGAGGGACGCAAAAGAACCACTGAGTACGTAAAGAAACCCTGGCAGTGACCATCCTCAGTGCCTACTCCTCATACTAACCACCTCTCATGATTGTAAATTGCACTAAAAAGTAATCTGATATTCACAACTCAAAGTAAAGCCCCTTATATTATATCCATAATATTATAAATCATAAGTCATATTTATCTGTCAATATTGGGAATTATGTCCATTGTGTAGTTCCAGAAATCATCCATACCCACCCCACAGAGGAATTTGGAATTTCCGAAGAGTAAGGGGGTCAGAGAAAGAACAAAAATAATTACAGAGTTTGTATGGAAGAAAATTGGAATTTCCGGGGGATAGGGGGGTGTCTTAAAAAATTCTTCCATAAGGGGAGTGTGGATAATTTTTGGAACTACACACTATTAGCATGCTTTCATGTTAACATATGTTTTCATATGTTGTTGTAGGCTTTTGAGAACACCCTAAAACTGTGGACGGACATCCAGCAAGAAAAGAACGCACTGATCAATGATTTTGAGAATGAGACACTGAAGTCTCTAGCCGTAGCCATTACTCCTCTTATTCAGAGGTAATTAAACATGCTGTTCTTGCACTTTACGACATTCACACAATCCGGCCGTCATCATCAAATCTGATGATCACATTATACTTTGCTTAGAGGAGTTTTGCAATAAGTATTAAATTTATATTATTAATTATATTATTATCATTGTCATTATTAATTATTAATTGACTTAATAATAAATATTAATTAAGTACTAAAAGTAAACCAGTAACTACTGGTGTTGTAAAAGCTTTGATGTTGTAACCCAGTAGTTACTGTGACTGTAAATGAATTTTTGTAAGCCAGTAACTACTGGTGTTGTAAAAGCTTTGATGTCGTAACCCAGTAGTTACTGCGATTGTAAATGAATTTTTGTAAGCCAGTAACTACTGGTGTTGTAAAAGCTTTGATGTTGTAACCCAGTAGTTACTG